CCGCACGTTGGTAGCGCTTGTCTGCTTCAAAGTTGCAGTAGAGCTGAAGGAGTCCGGCCAGGGATCGCTGGGGCATGTTGAGAGTGAAGGATGCGTGGTAGGTATCGAAGAGGTTGACGAGATAGATGTCAAAGTCGCGTTGGAGCCAGATGACATCACTGTCTGAACCGTGGAAGACCTGATGGACATTAGTGGAAGCATTCACCTTTTGAGAGTAGACTCACTTTGATGATTGAAGGATCTGTCATGACGTCTCCGAATTTGTCATCCCGAATCTGTTTCCTCAAAGACAAAGTGTCCACCACAAAGTCCTCATCCCTGGTCGAGATCTGGATCAAACATGTAAAGCCAATATAGCTTCGCATATCATGGTGCTCCAGATCCACCGCAATTTCCTTTGCCGCTTTTAGCTTTTCCACCATCTGCTGATACTTTTCGGGTGTATCCACAAACATGAACGGCGTCGAGTCGAAAGGTTTAGGAGGGATCGGTTGCGAAGGGATAAACATGGAGGTGGGATAAGGGAGATGTTTCGTCTCGTAATAGTAAGGATGGTGTCGGGCCTTTTGCTCTCTCTCCAGCCTCGCAGCAGCTTTGGCCGGATCCTCCTCCTCCTCCGCCGTCAACTCGTAGTCCAGCTTGACCTTTGCGCCCAGCGGTACCATTGCATGCGGCTTGCTCGAAAGCGTAGGCGCCCATGGGATATCCGTACGCGTGTTGTCGGGCGCATCGGGAAAGAGAAGCTGAGGTTTGGAGAGGCCAACGGCGTGGATGATGTTTTGGGGCAATCGCTCGACTTGTTTCGAAAAGGGGCCTGGGAGCTTTTTGCCTGCCTGGGCGAGAATGCTAGGCTTTATGGCTATGTTGGTCTTGCCCTTGATTCCGCGCAGCTCATCCATCTGCGTGTCCTGCGGGGAGTCAGTGTGGGCTCTCGTGACACGATGGCGACTCACTGCATCTTCGAGTAATCCATCCACAACGCCAAGCACAGAGCCCTTGTACCCGTCAATCACATCATCCTCGTCTTCCAGCTTTCTTCTTCTCGTGACAGGCTTTCCCTTCTTCGCCCCAGCAGCAGCGGCCCTCTGACTCTCGTCCACCAGCGCCAACACCCTTTCGGTCAAATTCAACACCCTTTGACTGGCCTTGTCAAGATCTTTGCCAAACGACCTGTCCATAGTTCGCTGAAAGTCTAAGTCACTCTTGCCAGGAAGAGCTGCAGCATCGGTCGTGAGGCTGTCGAGGGCTGCAGTAAGTTGCGGCAGGTAGTCGGCGAATGCGTCGGCGGGAGACGCCACTGCATTGTTTTGAGCGGACATGTCTGCCAGTAGTGTGCGGGCTCTTTGCAAGTGTTGTTGTAGTTTTGTATGGCTGTCCTGGTATTCGAAGGAGGCGAGGAGGATGTTTGAGTTGGGTGGCTGCGCGAGGGGTGGGGGGGGTCGCAGGTACGCCGTTGCGCGTCTGAGGGCGTGCTTGACTGACTGAATTGTGCGGCCCTGGGGGATACAGGAGCGGTGTGGACTGGCTGAATGTTTATATACCCAGGACAGCTGCAGGTTTGCACAATGGTATAATTTGCTTCCGCTGCGGCGACGGCCGGGGCCCCGGACCACAGGCCGGCACGAGGCAGCCTCGATTTGTTGTGCACATCCCATCCCTCCTTTGTCTCATCACAACGTCAGCCATCGCGTCAGCCACCCCCTTCAGCCCTCGCCCCGTATCCCCTGCCCCCTCCGTGAGTGACTACGTTGCCATGGAATCCCTGCCCCTCCATGCGAGTCACGCAGGGCCTGCGGCGGATGCCGTGCATAGTCCAATCAAACTAGAACAGGTCGAGCTCGAGGATGCTGCCAGCTCATCCCAGCAGGGATCCCCTATCATGGTGCACGCCGTCAAGGTAGAGAAGGAGGATACCCCCAATAAAGACGCCAAGGTCAAAAAGACCAGGCAGAGTCGTAGGTCCAATCTCATCTCAGATCGTCTCTGGATCTTGGGAATCTCGCTGACTCAGCCTTGTCGCAGAATCGTGCGATGGTGAGCATAATATCTGGGCACTTCCACGTATGTATGCTAACAATAGCCGCCTTCAGCCTGCCGAGCGAGAAAGTAGGTGTCGCGCACGCGCGCTACATGTAGTATGAACGCTCACCCCGTTCCTCAGAGTCAAATGCGACCGGCCACCACCGGGAACCGTGACAAATGCTCCCACCAAAGACATATGTTCACACTGCTCTCAGCTAAGTCTGGAGTGTATGTCTGCCAACCCGAAATGCCAGGTGTTTGTTGCTAATCTTGGTCTCAGGCCGCTTTGACTATGTCCCAAGAAAACGTGGTCCTCCGAATCTATATCTCAAACGCTTACAAGAAGATCAACAGGCAGCAACCAGTCGAAAGGATATGCCTTATCCCAGCCTTCCCCCGAGTCTCCCACCTCCACAATTACCACAACTGCCCATACCAGCCATCATGCAGCAGGGGCCTGCTACTGCCATGCCTTCCACCGCTACAATGGGCAATCCCAATGGAGGATGGCAGACTGCATCGCCCATCATGGGCATGCAGCCTTTACCTCTCCCTCAGGTCTCCTACCTCCCTCCCATGCCTGTACCCCCAGCCCCTATACCCACCCAGTCATACATGCCCTCTCCAATGTCCCACCGAGGCCACATCCCACCCCCAGTCGATGGTCCCCGCCCAATGCTATCAAGCGCTCCCCCAAGTACCCATTCATCCCCTGCCCATCTCTCTCCAAATACGAGCTTTGGCCAACACTCTTACGAGCCCCGGAACCCCCTCGACGCCGTCGTCCCCCGTCCAATCTTGTACCACATCATCAACCTCTACTTTGACTATGTCTACTGCCTCATACCGTGCCTCCACCGCCCATCCTTTACCCATGATTTGGATACAAATCGGGAAGAGCGGCCGGGAGAGGAGGAATGGGTGGCGTTGGTACTTTCGGTGGTGGCCAGTACGCTCGTGCAGCTTCCGAGGAGTTTTATCAGCATGAGGAGGAGAGAAGTCAAGGAGCTGGTGCTGAGGTGTCACCAGAAAGCAAGGTCATATTTGGCACAAGACTATCAACATCCTACTATAACCAGATGTGAGTGCTCGACATGTGTTTCTTGCGGATAATTATTTATACGACTCACAGCAATCATCCTCTACATCAACATGTATGTGTACAGCCTGACCGACCGGATGTCTATGGCACGAGCCGACTATGGCACAAATTACGCACACACTATCGCCCTTGGATCTCATCTCGAAAGCGTGCGCCCTCTAGCTCCCCGCTGAAGTAGAACCGTCTGACTCTTTGTAGGAATACACCAATCACAACCCTGTTGAAAGTTCTCTCCGGCGGCGCATGTTCTGGCTCATGTACGGCGCGGACAAGACATTCTCTGCTATCGCTGCTTTGCCCCTCTACTTTCATGAGGACGATTGTGCAAGTGTCGCTTTGCCTGAAGACTTGTAAGTCCCCCAAAGCCTTAGGAGCGAGGCTGATTGTCATTTCCAGGGATGATGCGTACATATCTACAGAGGGCCGGACGACCCAGCCTGAAGGGCATGTATCCCCTCTTTGTGGATTCCGTTATGTCAGCTACCTTTACCGCTGTAAGCTTTTCCTTCCCTCTCACGATACAACGCCTAACGCCCATCACAGTAACAGGCGAAGCCCTCGATAAACAAAGCCACGACAAACTCCGCCCTCCCTCCGGGGTCCTACTCCAAATACGTCTCTCCGAACTATCCCAGCTTTACCACCGTGTAATGTCCGCCATGGATGGCTGTCCACAGCCTCTCGTGTTGGATTATAGTACCCCCGGCAGTTCTGTGGCAAGCATGTCGCCAGATTGGGGGGAGAGGATGAAGACGGAGATACATACGATGTTTGTGAACCCGAAAGGGGCCGACATGGAGTTGGTAAAAGACTACTATCTGGTGCAGCAGGCAAACATCTACGTTACACAGGTACGTTTCCTTCTCTGTTACCGTGATAATAGGTGCTGACTCGTGAAAAGCAATTGGTCCGCTTCATCATCATCCAATACCGCGATGAGCTCCTCGCGCATCAAGAGATTGAACAACTGCAGGTTGATCCCAACGATATTGCCCGTCGGGAAGAGATCAAGCGGTTAGTGAAAGAAGGTAGCCAGGATGAACGGGAGCAGGTGGTTGTGGATCTCTTGTCGATCTTGCACAAGATCCCTATGAAAGTGCTCGGTGAGTTCTTGTGCCCCATCTCCTTTCATATGTGATCTGACAATGAGCAGCCGTCAATAGTATTTCGCTCGTGCACAAAGTTCGGCTTATCGCTTCGTCTCTCCTGGACAGCCTAAATCCGCAACCGGAAGGGAGTAGTCTGAATGGAAGGATGGCGGATATGCATACGGAGACAAGAGCTGAGAGGGCACAGAAGAATCTTTGTAAGCTTCTTTCGTCCCGGGATAAGTGTTTGAGAAGGTGGCTGATGTCATATGAAGGGAGCTTTTTAAGTTATCTTTCAGAAATCGAAACACTCTACTCGTGGGATGATGATGTGGAAACATGACAGCTCTCGCAAGGATGATGAGCTATAATTTATAATACGACGACGCCGCGACGCCTCGGTATGGGTGGTGTCTTTTTGTATATAATGATCTAGGTGGTCCCAGTTGCGCCTTATAAAGGACAATTTTGAAAGTGCTCAATGCATGTTGTATCGTCTCTTTCCTTGGCTTATCAGCATGCCATGGTAGCTCCTCCCGCCGACTGCTTTGGGTGAAACAATTGTTCCTTTGTAGCATATTCGTCCATCGTGTCCTATGAGCAAGACTGTCATCCAATCATTACTCATAACTGGCTCAATATATATATCGGAAAGACGACAACCTTGTCTGTCACTCGATCTAGACAATTGTCAAAAGATCTTATCTTTCACGCCAGCCCAGGCACCGTACTCGTAACGTTCCTGGACGTCCTATATTCGGCTTCATCTGCTTTCTCTTTTCCTCCTCATATTCTCCCCAGATCCATCGTCGGAATTACGACATGACGTATACGTATACCCACCTAGACGAGTTCTTCAAGCTCTCTACTTGGGACCGAGATGTGAGCTCAGACCAGAAAGCCCAGCGATACAAGGCTCTGACACGTATACAGATCAAGGGTTCCTTCGGCCTACAGCCCCCACCTGGCAACTGGGAGGGCTTCAGAAAGCGTATAGCGGGTGAATCACCTTCCCAGTCTACTCCGATGAAAGTCGCTGATCCCAGAGATAGAGCTACAAGGACAGTGCGCCGAGGACGAGAGTATCAAAGTCATCTTTGCTGCCCGACACGGTCAAGGTGCGTAGATCAAACTGCCTCTCGGTGCAGTGGCTGGTGTCTGATGCTGCTTACATAGCTGAGCACAATGTGATCAAGGACAACTACAGAGTGCCTCAAGATCTCATACTTTCCGCACGCCATCTGTTCCAGAAAGGGAAATGGGCCACAGCTCACGTAGGGATCTCTTCTCTGATACCTCCTTGCGTATTCTCCCTGACCTCTGGCATCAGGTTCTCTATCCTATTCTAGATCCCGACCTCACTCCGCTAGGACGTGAGCAAGCTGCGGCGCTAGGTCATGCCCTACGACGCGAAGCCGGCCGGGGAATGCCCTTGCCCGAAAGGTACTTTGTCAGTCCTCTGAAACGAGCTGGTGAGACATGCGGCATTGAATGGGGATGGGTATTTGGAGAGCCAGATGATGGTGGCAAGGGTCACGGTGTAAAGGCAACTGTCCTCGATGTTTGTCCGAAGCGAGGTGTATTCACAAATCTCTGACACGATAACGCAGAACCTTCGTGAACATCTTCACGTCCACTTGTGCGACAAACGCTCCAAACGTTCCGAGCTGGAAAAGGAGTTCCCAACCTTCACGTATGAGCCAAGCATGACGGAAGAGGACGAGCTTTGGGAACCGTTAGAGGTGAGAGGTCGGGAAAGTGACGATGACTTGGTAGCCAGGCTGGGGGTCGGGGTAAGGCAAGCCCTGGACGCGAGTGAAGGAGCCACCTGTGAATGTTTCGTATAGCACATCCTGAGACTGATCGCTAATGTCAGTCACAGACCTGAGTATAACTTCACACTCGGAAGCTATCCGAGGCGTGTACAAGGCTCTAGGTGTCCCGCCGAGAGATTTGGTCGTTGGGCAAATGAACATCATCGTTCTTCGCATCAAGAAGGTTGCAGAGTAATTGTTTCGTAAGTAGATCAGTAGAAAGGTAGATTATGATCATGATGTGCCAGGGTCCGCTTGTTTGGGGAGACACTTGCATGCATACTGTAAGAGTAGCTGTCTTTAGCTTTGTAGCCCAGCTTGATGATGAGGCTCTGCTGCTGTCCTCGGGCCACTTGAATCTGATCGTGGTCTGTTATCCCTCTCTTCAGCCATACACAAAAGGGAGCCGGCGATAACCTCTGGTTTCCCTTTGATGGTCACGGGCAAGGGGTACAGATTCTCACTCTATTGTTCCGGAGGGCAGGCGAGACAAAGAAGATCCGTTCACATCATTGAACATAGTTGTGGTCTCGGTGAAGCCTGCAAGACGCTCAAAGGAAAGGCTTCCTCAGACCTTATATTCACAGACATCTCCTCACAGTCACACTCCTCATCACATCTCTCATCACATCTCTCATCACATCTCTCATCACATCTCTAGTCCACTGTCCTATTCAAGCAGTCTTTGTACGCCAAGAGACTTAACCAAGCTCGTAAACATCTCACAACAACACATCATCATGAAGCACATCTTTACTCACCTCGACGAGTTCTTCGAGCTCTCTGATCAACAAGACGTGGGTCTCATCTCGTCGCCCAGCCATAGACCGCCAAAGAGAGTGTGAGGTCTGATGTATAACTTCTCAGATCAAGAACCCATTTGGTCTAAAGTCGCCTCCGGGTAGCTGGCAGAACTTCAAGAAACGCATAGCAGGTCAGGCGTCTTGACCCCATGACCCGCTCCGGACGAAGACTGATCCTGCTGGAGCTAGAGCTTCAGGAACAATGCCCTTCGGACGAATGCATCAAAGTCATATTCGCTACCAGCGATGGTCAGAGTCGGTCCACCAGTATCACATTTTGATGAACATGCTGATGTAGATAGCTGAGCACAATGTTGACGCTCAACGGCATCCGGTAGCAGGAGAGCTCGTACGTCGCGATGCGCTATACTTTGTAGACGATGAGCATGAGTTGACGTACAGCATCTGTATCTCCACCTTTCCCGTGGCTCTATTGTACCCGGCTTTAAGGCTCGACTTACCTGTCACATTGTCGACCCCGACCTGAGCTCTCTCGGCCGAGACCAAGCAACTGCGTTGCGCCATGCATTGCAGCTCGAAACCTCTCGAGGGATGCCGCTGCCGGAGAGGTGGTTTGTGAGCCCTCTGAAGCGGGCCGGCGAGACCTGTGGAATCGAGTGGGGATGGCTATTTTCAATGCCGAAGAAAGAACGGCAAGCGGGAAAGGGGCATGGCATGAAGGCAATCGTAGTAGAGGTAGGGTCTCCTTACGGATACTTGGTCATTGCTTGGAGAAAGCTGATGCAGGCTATTAGAATCTGCGAGAACGCCTTCATGTCCACCAATGTGACGAACGCTCGTCCCGCTCCGCTCTGCAGCTCGACTTTCCGTTATTCGAGTACACTACAGGAACGGCCGAGGAAGACGAACTTTGGCAGCCACAGGAAACGAGGGGGCGCAAGACAGAGGATGAGCTTACAACTCGCAGTGGCGGGGGGATGGACCAGGTGTTGGATGTGAGTGAGGGGGCTACTTGTGAGTGTATTGAGTGGCGACCGGGCTCGGAGACTTATGCAGTCATCAGTCATCAGCATCACTTCACATCCTGGCGCTCTTTGGGGTGTCTACAAGATTTTGGGCGTACCTCCGAAAAGCCTGGTGGTGGGCGAAATGAATGTCCTTGTCCTTCGAGTCAAAAAGGTGACCGAGTAAAGCCCCTTTTGCCTACGGAGCGGGTATAATTTCGTGGCAGATATGCATAGTAGTGATATGATGTGTATTGTTTGTTGCATGGGTGTGATGAAAAATTGATACATATGCCGATCTTATTGATCAGGACATTGCTTCCGCATAAGCCTGTTTGATGTATCAGCGGGTGTGATTGATACAAAGATAGGTTACTGACCTCGTACTCTTCTGTTGTCATCAGATCTTGATCCTCGTCCGTGACACTCTCTACCCTCTTGGGTTGGCCGGCAACTATGACACCGATCAGTCATGTCGACAGAAGCATAGTAAAACATACCAGTGACCATCTTCCCCTCGCCCTCTGCTGATGCTCCATTGGTAGCCTCATCTGGCTCGGGGGGAGTAATCGAAGTTTCCCCACTAACAACAGCAGTCTCTTCGAATTCTTCATCGTCCTCTTCCTCCTCCTCCCCTTCGGCCAACATCTCATAATGGGCAGCCAGCGACTCATCGCTCGTTGTTTGCTCCGTTCCTCCAGCTGCAAGCCGCGCCCTCTCCGCAACAGCAGCCTTCTGGTTTCGATCGTTGATACCGAGCGTAGTAGCGTCTCCGGTGACAGTCGAGTGCGTATACCACGCCGGCAAAGCATTCTGCTCCCGCTGAGCCTGCGCAAGCTTCTCCTTATCTTCATCGTCTTCGGCCCCCATAACCACCTCAAACTTCTTTCCTTCTTCTCCCACTTCCTTTCCATCCACACTGACCACTCCTGTCTTGACATTTTGGGCGATCCAAGCAACAATGTTGATACTCGGCAGCGTCAACCCTTCCACCGCTTTGAGCGCGTCTCGGATGGGGGCAGTGGCGATGTTGAACCGCTGCATCATATCCTGCAGACTCGAGTTGTTCTCCACATCCACCGTGGGGTCGTGCTCCACCAACTCGCTCCCGCAATCCTCACATTTGAAGCTGTTTGTCATCGGGTCGAAGAGGTGACTCAAATCGAGAGGATCATATGTCCGGCCGTCCATGGGACATTGGTACCCTCGGTGCCCGACTTCGGATTTGATTCGCTGATCGATATTTTTACGCATCATAGCAAGGCGATACTTTGTGACGTTGGCAAACTCGCGATAGTCGAGAAACCAGTAGTGCACATCGCGGGTACGCAGCTCTGGTAAATTGTTGTTTCTATTGTTGTTTCCATATGACCGCTTCCATTCGGGCACTGGCAGCTTCTCCTTGTTGACATGTCTGTACATGGATCAGGGCTGTACAAGGAGGGTATGATCATGGCTTACCTTTTGACAAGACGGTGCATGAGTAGAATGCCCATATATTTCCTGACCTCGTTGGTTGACAGACCCACTCTCTGAGCGAGATCGACTTCCGCCATCCTTAGAAAGGTCAGTGATGGTGGCATGTTGGTAGTTGATATACGTACACATTGAAATGCACCATCATTTTGAAGAGAATGATGTAGGGGCCATCGTAGAACGAGTAGGCAACCTGGTAGACAAGATCAGAGCACAGCTTTTGGATCTCGTCGGACGACAAGTTGAGGTCGGCCATAGTGGGACAGCTCCTTCCGCTGAGCGAGCCAGGATTGTTGAGGGTAGCAAGGCGAGGCGATAGTCAAGGGCATTGTTCAGACAGACTGATGCCAGAAATCAGTTCATGCCGCGGTTCTCCCATTAATTTCACGTTAATTACGAGATAGTTATCACCGGCCGCCGATCCGACATGTTTCTTGAGTTCACGGTCAGTGCCACCCTCTGTCACACATTGCGAGTGATACGAGTCCAGTCTAGACTATGGTGGGCGCTCGTTGATACACTAATCTTCCATCTATAAGTGTAATGGAGGCTGTACGCAAGGCGGAAGGGTGGGGACGAGCAATGTCAGCCACGGCCCCATGAGAGTTTGAAGAAGAGATTCAAGAGCGAGAAAGTAAGCGGGAACATGGAAGCCATGGAGGTAAAATGCTCATTCTCATCATCAAGCGTGTAAGACTCTGCTCGAGAAATCATTCTCAAAACTTTGGCACGACCGAGCGTAGCCGTCTGCTTTTTTGATCACAGATAGTCAGAGGTACTCAAATCTCGTCCATGAGAAGACGTAGCGCTATAGCCATGGCAGGACACTGTGTTTCTGAACGGCAATATCTCATCTTGGTCACTGAAGTTTTCTATGTTGTACATCTGGATACAACATCTACAAAGGCGACCATCAGCATTGTACATGTCATGATAATCAAGGCCACTCACGAGTATATTGATACAACCTTGAGCTTAATATCTTTCGGTTCAAGCTCGCTTCAAGTCATCTCCTTCTGAAAAGAGCCTTCTTTCCCCGTAATCCATTGGCAGGTGTTTGGACGTTGCTTCTAGTCATACCCTTTTGTTCAAGACACATCTTGGCCAACTTGAGATGGTAAGGCAGCAAGGGACCCGCAGGATTGGCAGAGTGGGGTTGGAGCTCCTTGGCTGCACCAACGGTCAGTGAGAATAGAGATTAAAGGACTGTTGTGACCTACCCATTTCGATCACGTCTGCGACAAAGATCTTTGCCATACCTGCTACTACCTGTGATAGTTGTGGCGTACAGTGTTGATCATAGAGGTCCCTATTCAGCTTGAACAGTATGTCAGTATATAATTCATGGAAGATTGTTGTACTCACCCTCTTGATTACATTCTTGTTCAAGGCCACAGTACTGAATGTATCGAACCGTCTTCCCTGGTCTTCATCCATCTGGCCTCGCAACATACTAGTTGCTCCGTCAGGAGATGCTCTTCTCAATATCCAGGATAGCAGCTTACTATGTTTCTGCCCTCTTTCTCTTTGCCTTCTCTTCAATATACTGCCCGTTATCCTTCTTCTTCCCTTTACCCTTCCCTCCCAAGGCTGCTCCGCCCATGTGCTGATACGCGGGCCCCGCCTCACCCCGGTCATCATAATCATCGTCCTTGTCATCATCCCCATCAGAGTCGCCCTTGCCATCCAGGTCGGCATCTACCATGCGCTTTTCCGGTTGCGGTACACCCATGAGATCAGAGTCGTCGACATCGTCGGCTTCATCGAGGTCTTGCCTGTCGAGAGGTTGGTTGCCGGACCTTGGGGCCGAGAGGGCGGATGATGAACGTGGTAGGGCTAGCGACATTTCGAGCGATTGTTTGTTGTAAACAGAAACAAGCAATAGGTGTATTCAATCGCGATTTGATAGCGAAGGCCGGCGCGTGAAATAATCCCGAGTCATGCAGTCCGGCCCAAAAGTCTAATTGACCGTTTCGTCGCCTCTCATTTCTATCTGTTCTGCACTTCCAATCTCAAGACACCAAATCATGATCGGCTTGCGCACCGGAAGGGCCGCTGTTGGCAGGGCAGCTGCTCCCCTCGCCCTTCCACCCGTCCGGCCCCTCGTCCGACCCTCTTTACCCTCGCTCTCTCCTTTCCCACAAAAGCACCTGCGCAGTGTCCGCCTTCTATCCACAGCCCCCATAGCGTCCTCCTCAATAGCTCCTCAAGAGGTTCCGCTAGACAACTACGACCTCGCCTCATTGGATCCTCCCATCCCTAGCGACTTTCTCTCAGAGCCAGCGACGACGATTTTCGACCCTCTCATTCATCCCCTAGCCGACGCTTTCCTGGCGATACCGCACCCTTTGGGGTATGGTGCTTCGATAATAGCTATCACGCTTTTAGTACGAACCGGTCTGACTCTACCGCTAGCGATCTGGCAGCGGAAAAGAGCCAAAAAGATTCAAGAGGTCGTCATACCAGAATTAAAGCGTTACAACGACATCATGGCGCAACATCTGGCTAGGGAGTATAGGTCCAAGAACCTCTCTTATTCCGAGTATACAATCGAAACGAAGAAGAGGGTGTGTCACTCCCGATTGTTCGTACTCAGTTTACTAACTTGATTTCAGATGTATCTTGCTCAAAAAGCTCTGCATAAAAAGCACAACACTGTACCCTGGGTGACCAACTGGGTACCGCTCCTCGTCCATCTCCCATTCTTCCTCACAATCTCCATGACCATACGCCGTGCCCTCGATATCCCTGGATCAAGTCTCGCGGCCGATTCCTTCTTCTGGATCGAGCAATTAGGTCAGGTGGACCCGTATGGGATATTGCCCTTGCTTGGCATGGGGGTGGCATTTGGAAACGCAGAAATGGTGGGCGCTAGAAGACGGGCTGTGGATGCTGCCAAGACGATGGCGGAATATAGTGTGGCGCCTGAAGGTGAGGCGAAGGCGGCCCAGCCAGAACCCCGGCCGACGCCAGTGAGAGCCGCGAGCCCTGTGCAGCCTGTGCAGGGCAGCTCAACCCCTCGCTCCTCATCGCTGTTTGCTCGTGGGAAGCCAACAAATAGTTCCAAATCCCCAAAATCATCACCACCATCCCGTCCCATCAGTACGACAACAAGTGTCTTGGCCCGCCCACATACAAAGTGGAAAGCCCCTAGCAATGCCTTTTCCGAAAAATTACGACAAGAGAAGATAGCCAACGGGATGGTGACGCTGGAGGATGAAAAGCCTTCTGCCGTCTCACCGGAAAGGCAGGAAGATATCAAAAGGGATGCTTTTGCGTATATTCTACGCTTTATGGCTATTGGTTTCGGGATGCTTGCCAGTCAAATGCCGAGTGTGAGTGCCGAGCGTCTTATGGTTTGTGCTTGCTGCTGACATGTCATGATAGGGCGTGGTACTCTACTGGATCGCCTCCATCTGCTACAGTTTCGTGCAGAACTTTATCTTCAGGATCTTGCCGCGTTGGAGAGATACCAAAACGCCTGACTCTGTATCAGCCTTCTAGCATACGAAAAGTAACCCCGTATTTATAATGCATCGTCACATCAACTGATCCTTGGTCTCTTGGCCTCTCGATCCTCATTCTGTTCTTCCTTGCCTTGGGCGCCTACCTCCTCTTCTTTGGGGTGTTCTTCTTCTCCTTGGGTGTCTCCCATCTTTTCGCTTTCGTCCTTATGCGCTCTCCACTTGACAAGCCCGTCCGGACAGTCCATGACCCTCTGCCCATAAAAGATATGACACCCCGGCCTGAAAACTTTCGGAACGCCATTCTCCCCTTTACCCCTCGCGAACTCGAATGTGGGCGGGAAAGCCAACACCATATTCCGCCCCTCGTCCATGAATGGCGTACCGCACGACCCACACGATATCTTACGAGGGGTCGGCGTGGGCGATGATGATAGCGCGTGGAAATCGGCGGAAGCGCTGAGAAAGCGGACGTGATCGGGAGATGTATCGAGCCGGACTGCGTCTTTGGGGAATATGGCTGCTTGTTGGAATGGGGCGCCTACGATCATGAATAGCGTTAGCTCTGACATGGCTCTGTGGAGGTCCCTTCAACTTACCGTGCAGCTTCTGACAGCCAGTACAATGACAAACTTTGACCTGAAGTGGATCTCTGTCGTAGACAAAAGCAGCTGATCCTAGGTAAGTATACCATCTTTACAATCTGAGACACTGACTCTTCTTGCAGAAGCAGCTCTGCCGCCATTTCGTCGTCCAGCCCTCTCGGCTTTCACCGTAACGGAATGGCACTTCTTTTGCCCAGCTTGGAGTCTCTTGCGACATTTTTGCTGTATCAGATGTAGAGATGAGAAATTGTACTTCCAAGCAATATATATAAAGGGGAGAGTACCACGATCGATGCAGCAGGATCGAAATAAGTGCGATGGAGACGATGGCCAGCCAAGGACGTCACCGGTGGAGGCAGGACCCGGAGGCACGTGACACCACCTCGGATGAGCGAAAGTTCGCCCTTCCGTCGTTCGTCGGGCTTGCAGTCCTCATGACCAGAGAAAAGAAGTGGCACATTTTACCGTTCTGAAGGTATTCAAACTCTGATATACTTCTACTGTGGGCCCCAATCGACGCCAAAATTTGATGATCCCTCTGACGGCTCATCGACGAAAGAAAAGGACAAACTCGTGTCACTCAACCCTCTTGTTGGCAGACCGTCTTTCCTTTCTTCTTCATTGTTCTGGTCTGCTTGCCAGATTCTCACATTTCAGCTTCCTGTCAAAAGTAATAGCATCCGTCCTTCCGTTTCTTGCCATGAACACGGTCGCTGCATGGGAGAGGAGATCAACTTGTCATGTGGCTGTCGCCACTTGACCCAGAAATATCGCGAAGCGTCTAGAATCATCCTTGCCACTATGTTGGCCACCGTTGGCCACCGTCGAAAATACTGGAAGGATATGGAAAAGGGATACGTAGACTTGAGGCTGGATATAAATACCCACACTCTTTCATAGCTTTTAGATACTCTGTCGATCAAATATTGTTGTCTCTTCAACACAAGCGTCCATGTCCTCCGGCATTGGCTTGGCTACCTCTCATGGTCCTCAAGTCATTTCGACTCACCTCGACTACTACAAGGGAATCGCTAGAGGTCATGGACCCGTGTGACACAACTCAACCACAATACGCACGGGCCGGATCCCGGCTAGCTTAGTACTACCCATCTGCCCAGCAAAGTAGATGGGCTGCCTTTGGTGTCGAGACTGGACGTGAGAGCTGCGAGACGCTACGAACACAATCTGGGTATCCCCTGTGAATCTGGAAGCCTTCAAGCCAAAGTCTTCAGCTGAGCCGTCGATGCTTGATGACAAATAGACGTTGGAGGGGTTCTTGTGGGCAGGTAGCTCTTTGTAGGAGGGGGGCGGGGGCGGGAGCATGAATGCAGTCAATGGGGTCTTCAGAGCAATCATTCCAATGTTGTTGTCTCACATTGTATCAGGTAACAACTGATAACCAGAGTCGTCGCCAATATGACCCATACGTGTACTCGTACATCTCAGTCCTTCCACCCCTTCTCCACACCATCCCTCTGCTTCTTCCTGATCCACTCATACACCACACTAAAATCCATCGCCCCCCAATCCCCATCTCCCTCCTCACAAACCGCCTCATAAACACTCTTACTCGCCCACGTCAGAGGCGTCGGAAGACTATGCTTGTGCGCCGCCTGAAGCGCCAAGCCAACATCCTTCAACATCAGCTTCGTCTGGAACCCGCCCTTGTATCCGCGCGACGCCGGGGTGTTGGGGAGTGTGGAGATGGGCGGGTTGATCCGGGATGACCAGGAGGAGCCAGAAGAGGTGTCTATGACACTGCGGAGGAGGGAGGGGTCGATGCCGAGAGAGTGGCCGAGGGAGAGTCCTTCGGCGAGAGCGATTTGGTTGCACGCGAGAACCAAGCTTTCGAGTTTGTCAGGGTGGCATCTCTACTTTCGACTTGAAGACTCACTTGTTGCAAACCTTGACACCCACCCCAGTCCCACTGCCTCCACACTCCACCACCCCTCCAGCCCTCGCCATCCTTTGCAACAGCGGCACCACTAATTCCGTCGCCACGGCCGAAGGCGAACCAAACATGATTGTCAACTCTCCCTTCTCCGCCCCGACCGTCCCGCCCGAGACTGGGGCGTCTACCATAAGCGCCTTGTGAGAGGTTTCTTGGTGGATACGGGTGGATACTGCGAGGGCGACGGTGGGGTCGAGGGTTGTTTGGTCGATAAGCAGGGTATGGGGGTTGTTTGGTGGTGGGCCGGAGGAGAGGGTGGTCGTGGATGAAAGCTGCTCGTCCACTGCTTGACTTGTATTGCCCGATACATTTGGTTGAGGTGCTGTAACCAGAGGCAAGTCAGACGTATTACCCGGGAGTCCCTGGAGACCCGCCAGAATGCCTTGAACAGGATCCAAGTAGACAGCTTCCACTTGCGGTGTCGAAGGAAGCATCGTAAACACCTTTGCCGCCGCCTGCACCATCCTCCATCCATTATCAGCATTCTTCCTTCTTGGTGGTTCACAGATCTTACTCTTTACCACTACCCACCCGCTCCACCCTCTCAGCAAGCTCCACCCCACCCCTATCCCTCAAATCCCTTACAAACGAATCCGCCCTTCCATCATCTTGTTCACAAAACAGGAAATTGAGCTTTTCGCCCCCCTGCGATAAGGAGGGAGGGGTATCGCTTCCCTGGTGGGCAAAGTATGTCTTGGTGAAGAGATTGAGCGCCATGGGACGGCCTGGTATGGGCAAGTCAGTAAGAGACCTCGGGCATCCGCGCCGGTTGCGGCAGTAGCCGAAGAAAGTGTAACATAGAGACTTACCCATCGCACCCAGGCCGATCCAGCCAGTGGTGCTCGTTCGCAGAAGCTTGGGAGTGGGTCGAAGCATCGTGCAGTGGCTTGCAAAGGAAATGAGATGGAAGAGTGATAGAGACAGTATCGTCGCCTGCCATGCCGAGCGTCACCTGACACTGGCGCGTGGATCCTGTCTTACACTGCAAAGTTGCAATTGTCATACCGCGAGAGTCGATTCCAGCTCGGTGGCAGGACTACAGAGTATCAAAGAGCGATGGCTCAAGGCCAGCAACAAGGCACTCATCGCCATCGGGGGCTGAATATGACTCTAATGTGATGCTACATGTTACTTCTTCAAATCAACTCCCACAGCCTTCCTAGACAGCCCCAAACATTCCCCCAACGCCAACCATCCCCGCCATCAACTGCCCCTCACAGATCCTCCTCCTCTCCACGGCCGCTGCCCTCTCCGCCTCTGCATCTGCCAATGCCATAGCGGCGTGTCGTTGGATAGAGTGGGTGCGTAGTGTGTTTTGGAGGAGGGATGTATAGTGGTGATGGTGGTTTGCGAGCTACACCAAGATTAGTTTATGAGAGACGAAAGGAACAAAGCAGACGTACATCAATCTCCCACTGTGCGCCTCCAAAGGGTACAGCAACAGGTGGTAATTCCGCCAAGACCCTCGCTTCCTCCTCTTTCGCCCTCATCTCTGCCAATTGGTCTTCACTCAACACTGGCTCTTCAACCTGCGGCTTTACATCTTCCTGCTCCGCCGACACAGGGTAAGCGGTAGCAGCGACCGACGTAGGCGACGAGCTTGCTGGCTGGTTATAAGGCGTTCGCACAGTGTTTACGTTTACGCTCGGCGAAACAGCATACGGGCTCGCCGTCGCTCTCGCCACAGCAGCAACCGGCGCCAGCGTAAGCCCGGGTGCAGGCCCAGGCGTCGGCGTCTGTGCCGGTAACGTTTTTCTCTCCGACCACGACAACCTGGGTCCACTGGGCGGTGCATCTTTCGTGCTCGTCGAATGCGCTGAAGGCGTCTCTGACGGCGCTCTGCTCGCTCGGGGGGGCTCGATCTCTTCCCGCGGGGGGGTTGCTGATACTGGGGTGGAAATCATTGCTGTCGCGCGACCGGCTGAGGCTAGGGATGCTGTAGATAGCGGTGCGTAAGCTCGCGGGCCTGTAGGTGGGGGGCGGCCACCGTACAAGTGCGCAAGGGCACGAGGACCGGTAGGGGGTGCGAATCCTGGTGCAGCAGCGCCGCCCATTGAACGTGGGCCGGTGGGAGGCGGCCGTTTGGCAAACTGGTTGAAGCCGCTCAGAGGCACAGCGATGGGCACCGGCCTGGCGGGGGCGGGGGCAGGTGCGGGTGCAGACACCTCGGGAGCAGTAGCAGGTGGCGGCGAAGGCGTGTGGAGCTCGGAACGTGGAGGTGGCGATGGAGAATGTGGGGGCTCGAAACGTGAGCGATTTTCGGACGGGGATCTCGATCGTCTTCGGTCAGACACTGGCGAGAGGGCTCGCTTGAGGGGAGACAAGCGTGATGACCTTGAAGGGGTGGATGCTGATGAGACGGAAGGAGACCTTCGACGGCGGACTGGAGGCGAGTAGGGAGATGGTGACCGTCGACGGAAAAATCTGTCTCTATCCCAGTCCCTTTCTCGGACCTCCCTGTCGCGATCTCTCCAGCTGTCTCTCTCGACCCTCCTGAAAGGCGGCGGGGACCTCGTTCGTCTTCTGATAGCAGGCGAGCGAATTGGTGGCGAGTGCGGGCGGGCTGGGAGACCCGCCATGGACGAGATCGGTGGCAGCACAGGAGGAGCCGGCGGCGGGTGTACTGGCGAAGTGATCTGGCCCTCTTCGGGCGTCCCTTCTGACCTCGCTTTCGCAGATCCTTCTGCAGCCATAGACGTCGCCCTCTCGTCCCTCCCTCTCTCCCGTTCCCGCTCCCTGTCCATAGGCGGTGCGACGGGTCTTCTAGGTAACGGGCTCCGAGCCGTCATTCTCTCATCCCTCTCTCTATCTCTCGAAAACCAGCTCGTCCTGCCCGCAGGATATCTCGGTCTTTGGTAGTCCCAGTCTCTATCATCGTCCCTCTCCCTGTCGCGCCAGTCGGGACGTTCGTTGCGGTCGTAGTTGGTGTTGCGATACCTGGGTTCCCGTGCGAAGCGGTAGTCGTCGCGCGGGGGGTAGGGGGGGCTGTCGTCTCTGTATGTGCGGGGGCGGTGTGGCAGGCGGGGGGGCGAAGGGGAGCGCGGCATCCTCTGTATAATGTATGTATAGCGCAGAGCCTTGCGCGTCTTTTTCTTTGCACAAGAGGATAGGATGCATTTACGTAAGCATAGCAGTGGCCGCCGAGATGCGATCGGCGAGATTTCCTGTCTTGTTGCAACTGAAGCGTCTTGTCCCGATCTTCTCGTCAGCATACATACACCCAGCATGTCCCAAGAACGCTCACGGAAAGCCCTCATTATCGGCGCAGGCCCAGTCGGCGCACTCACAGCTCTCAGCCTTCATCGCCAGGGATGGGACGTTGAACTGTGGGAGTCCAGAGACGGCAAGTATTACCATCGACGACCGTGGCCTTGACTGATAATTTGCTAGATCCTCGAGGCGAAGATACTGCCCCAAGCAACCTTCGTTCAATCAATCTCGCCATCTCCTCCCGAGGTCTCTCGGCTCTTCAATCCGTCGACCCTGCCCTCGCAACCGACTTTCTCGAAGAAGCTATCCCTATGAAGGGCCGCATGATCCACCATACCGATGGCAAGGAAGAGAGCCAGCTGTATGACCCCATACACGGGCAGTGTATCAATTCCATCAGCAGACCGATCTTGAATCAGCGGCTGGTGCAAGCGCTGCCGGAGGGGATCAAGACGCGGTTCAACACTAAACTTGAGCTTCTTGATTTCAAGGCCAAGAGGGCGTATGCGTCGACGTCCAAGGAAAGTGTTGTTCCTGGAGAAGAAGCGGGTGAAGGACAGAAGGTGTCTGGAAAAGCGAGAGGAGAATGGACGGCGTTTGATCTGGTCATCGGCTGTGACGGCAGTTGGTCCAAAGTCAGAGCAGCTATGATGAGGATTGACCGGTATGAGCTTCTTCATGCGCAAAAGACTCGATGCTGACGTTCAATAGGGTTGACTTTTCCCAATCCTTCATTCCCCACGCATACATTGAACTCCATATGCCCGCTGATTCAAGCCGCCCGGAAGGATTCGCCATGGACAAGAACCACCTCCATATTTGGCCTCGTCATGCATTCATGCTAATCGGTCTCCCCAACAAGGTAGGTCCCAGCCAGTTTCCGCTTGACCATATTGACAATGTACGCAGGACGGTTCTTTCACCCTCACCCTCTTCCTTCCTTTCGACTCTCTCGACAAGATCAAGACGCGAGAACAAGCTTCCGCATTCTTCAAAGACAACTTTCCCTCTGCTGTCGACATTGTCGGTGAGAAGCTCTTACTGGACGACTTTGAAAACAACCCCCGCGGAAATTTGGTCACCATCAACGTGAGTTTTCGATCCCGCCCTAGACGGAATGCTGACATAAGACCAAGTGCACCCCATCAGCCTGGTCTTCGCACGCCCTCCTGCTCGGCGACGCTTCCCACAGTATGGTCCCCTTTTACGGCCAAGGCCTCAACTGCGGGCTCGAAGACGTCCGTGTCCTTTCTACCATCCTCGCCCGGCACAAGATCTCTGGCAAGACTACTACACCGCTGGGACAGAAGGATGATGGCTTGGAGTTGGCTTTGAGGGCGTATTCGGTGGAGAGGGAGGCGGATTTGAAGGCTATTTGCGAGCTGGCTTTGCAAAACTAGTAAGTTTGAACATGAGGAGGGACGAAGGCTGATAAGAGCAGCACCGAGATGCGTTCTCACGTCCTCTCTCCCATGCACCACCTGCGCCGCCACCTCGACACCCTCCTCACAACCCTCTTCCCCACCGTCTCCCGCTCTTCCCAACCAACAACCTCCCTCCCCTCTCTCCTCGCTTCCGAATCCTCCTCCACCGCTTTCCCCACAAACAAAGTCAAAGGGTGGACGAGCATGTACCATATGGTCACGTTCAGGCCGGATGTGGGGTATGCAGAGGCCATGAGAAAGGAGAGTTGGCAGAAAGAGGTGGTGCGGTGGGTTGGGTATGCTGGTGGGGCGGTCAGTGTTGGTGCGCTGGGTCTGGGTGTAGTGGTGGGTGCACGTTGGGCGAGAACGTGGTTGGAGAGGCGATAGCCGTGCGATGTTCATGTTGTGGATGATGCATTCAGTCTTCCAGACATCTTTTTATTTTAAACCAGCCTCTTGGCTCCCTGCTTGGCCTCCCTCGACCATTCTGCCTCCCTCTCCCTCTTCTCCTCGATTGAAGCGCTCTCCTTGACCCTTCGCTCATCGAGTACGACGATAGGGCCGAGGTCGACCTTGCCGACAGGATCGCTGATGAGAGCTTCACCAATAGAAGGCTGAGCGACTTGCTTTTGCGCCTGCCCAACTTCCACCTGCTGCTGCTCCTCAGTAGCCTTACCCTCCTTGACCAACTGCTGCTCCTCACCCTTCCTCAACCCCAAAGCCTTCTCCGCCTCTGCCACAAGCCTTCCCAAATCCTGCTTCTCCCCTGCTTCTTTGAGAAGAGAGGCGAGGGACGCAGCTTCCGTCTTGAGCAGCTCGGCTTCGTGCTTG